ATATTGATATAAACTAGATTGTTCTCGTCACGATATGGCTGAAATATTGCCGATGTACGCTAAATAATAACTCACTCACTCACTCTAGTCGCTATTCTGTAACAACCTTGTTTCATTTATGCAGGCGTTTTATGCCATGTGGTTTGTATTTTAGCTTTCTGAATATTGCCACTGTTTCGTCATGGAATACTATGCAATACAATGTCATATCATATTGTACACTTTCTTTTTCTCCATGGTATAGAAATGACATTATAACATCATTTGTTGTATTCATGTTTGTGTACAAGAGATTGGTCGTTGACGTAGCAAATGTATAATGATATTGCGAGTAAGAAACGTTGTGTCACCACTAGGAGTGTTCCCATTATTTGTGACGGGATATGTCACTGTGTACAGGACATCATATATCCATGAACATATCAGTTATAGAATGGAACGGAGGGGTAGCCTAGTGGTCGCCCTTCATGCCGAAAATACGGGTTCGATTCCCCACACAGGTACAATGTGTGAAGCGCATTTCTGGTGATATTGGTGGAAAATTGCTAAAAGCGGCGTAAAACTAAAGTTACTCACTCACTTTCATAGAATCGCAATACCAAATTTTATAATCGATGGTTGCCAATAGCCGGTTGCATCAACAATCAACATGGTATTACAGAAAGTGATTCCTAAACACATGGTCATACTATAGTCGAAACCGTACAATCGACTCTGGTTTTAGAATAAATTTCCTCTGAATATGGAAAGAGGTTTGTTCATTGCATGTAGTCGCATATAAATGATAACCCACTCGATGAAATCTTGACAGAATGCAGTGTCCCTTTGACATACACACACACAAAAGAGTGAGTTAGTTTTGTTTTACGCCATATTAGCAATATTCCAGCAATATCACGTCGGAAGACACCAGAAATGGGCTTCACACATTGTACCCATGTGGGGAATCGAACCCGGGTCGAGCGAACGCTTTAACCACTAGGCTACCCCATCGCCCATATATTATACAAGGTATCACGTATGCCATGTACAGTGAACGGTAACAAAATCTTGAAATATCTTAATTCTACTAACGAGAGTTGATTATCCTATTGGCGTCATGGCGTGAAGTCTCACTTAGGGTCATTAATCACGTTCCGCCCCGCTTCACGAGTGGTCACGCTGATAGCCATACCCCACCATCCCTTCAAAGACAGCTGTTGGTCATTATGGTGAGGTGAGGTGAAACTGGGTTTAACGTCGTGCTTGAGAATATTTCGCTCATATGACGACGTGCATGCATGTGTATGTGCGGCTGCTTGTACTAGCCCAGACTGAAGCTGGTTTAATAGTGCTAGCCCACTGAGATATCATGCCGCAGTGAAGCATGAATACCCCACTCAGACACATTATACTGACTCCGAGCCGACCAGTCCTTGTTGTACCCATTAATGCCGAGCGCCAGGCTGGGACCAACAAGTACCATATTTTAACGTCTTTTGGTATGTCGCGGTCGGGGATCGAACCCGCGACCTTCCGCTCTCCGGGCGGATGTTCTAACCACTACACCACGGAGGCGGTCTGGTCATTATGGGATAATGGAGAAATATAGTATTTCTTTTCACCATGTGTTCGAATCCCTCATTTCATGAACCGATATATATCCGGACTGTGAGATATATTCAAGGAAACTGAACATGTACAACCAGAGCCACTTTGTTAACCTGATACCCTCATTAAACTGGCACCAAACCCTCCATGGAACACAAATGACTTGAAAATGAACCGTTTCTTTATTTTGGGCGTTAAACGAAATAAATGGAGAGAAATCCGAAGACTTTCATTTTCGTATTTTGTTCTTTTCCAATCGTTATTGGATTCGATCAATCGGCACTCTCAGTCTCGACATTGCATCAATACAGCCGTTAACACCACAAAATGGAGAGAATTTTCAGAGTATCAGATCAAAATAAGGACGTTACATCCGTGACATCCCGAAGTGTTACAATATAGAATATCAGTAAGAACGTGCCTATACAACAAACATCCCCCAACACCTATCTATAAGACAACAAACTTGACTTGCAAAAACATTCACACAAAAAATAAAATAGTATCAAGGGAATTGTTCAAAAGCATTTCTGTCATATCAGAGGCACACACGCCTCGTGAGTATTGATATATTCCTGATATGCATTTTGGTCTGGTGCCAAGCACAAAGCACCAGTTCCAGCACCGTGTGATATGTGTGTTATCATAAGCATCTTCAAAGCCTCACCACAGGCACCACAGTGTCAGAACAAGGTAGGTCTTGTAACAAAAACAAGTATATCTGCAACATGTTATATGTCAAGCTCTAACCAGGAGCCAGGGTATGGTACATTAATGCACTGAGTTTGTTCTGGCGCTGACGTGGAGCGTTGGGAAATCAACCGTTGAATGAGGAGGATGCAGTGTGTTCGTGGTCTTGGTTGAATGGATCCTTATCTTCATCACAGAGCATCCTCCGGTTATGGTTTTGGAAACAGGCTCTGATGTTAATTATATTTTGTCTTTCATTATTGCTACCTTGTCTGGGTTAATCAAGAAATAACAACATCACGCACAAGGTAATACAGGAGTGAGATCTTGTCTGATCCGACACCTTTATCTTGAATAACACTGGAAAAATGAAAGAACCAAAGGATCGTGGACATATGTATTTGTTCTTCAGTTCTTAAAGCTGTTGTTTCTTTGGAATATCGCATTCCACCTCAGAGAAAGGTCACTTAGTCTACGGTTCTCCGTACACAATTGCAAGAATCGTCCCAATTTAGGTCATTGGATTATCAGCATCATGCATAATCATGTTCACTGGTTTCATATAACTTAATACGTTACACACCGGATAAAATAATTTGCAGTTATTGAAACATAATACGTATTACCTTCCTTTATGCAAGCACGATGCCAATGTTGTAGCTATGAAAATGTTGTCATGTGTTGATCATTAACGTGGGAAAATGTTCATGTCAGATCAGCATGATACTCTATGCATATTCCTGTTCAGTAATTGGAAGTGAATCAGTCATGTGGTGATAAGCAGAATGCCATATTCCTAGGGTGAGTAAGTGAGTATTTACGTCGCCTTTAGCAATATTCCCCCACGATCGCGTCAAGTTAGCCTAAAGTACAGTAATCCTTTAAAGAGGCAAGTCTAGATAAGTGGAAAGACGCTTGTCTCTTAGGGGGTTATTTGTATGTATATTTTTAAATTATCATTTAAACTATTAATTATTACCTTAGAGACTTGTACAATTCTAACCTCAAGGGTACGCCAAAATTAACATTACATATTGCACTCTTGGAGCGTTTTTGGTGATCTTAGAAACAGATGCCTACAACTAGTACACAATGGAAGTGCAAGAAACAAAATGTGGTCCAAGATATTTACTGGACGTTAATGTTATAATTTCATGGCTTGCACAATTCCATTGTAACAATCAGCAAAGGTTTTATTTCTCACTTATGTAAAATAAGTGCTTGAACACTGCTGAAAGTGAAGGGCTCCTTTTATCAGAGGTTTTATCATTATCAATTTCGTGATGTCTGCATTTTACTGGACTATGGATTGATATGGTAACACCAAGCTTAAAAACGTAGCATGCCATATAGACAACAATCTAATCTCGAATTTAGTGGTAAATTAACATTCCATACCTGGAAAAAACAACTTCTAAATAATGCCACTCAAAGAATTTAATGTATATTGGTTATTTGAATTGAGACTCATTACATCACGACATCTGACGAACCAACATCTCCTCTCCAACCACCGTCGGCCTGAGTTGAAACAACATGTCGCCACGATATCTTCCACTTTCGTGTTTTGATGTCTGAAGATTTGGCTATACGACATTGGCCCCATTCTTTCACACTAACAGGCTCTTAAACGTTTTAACCAGATAACCAGAGCACCATAAATACACTGGAAGTGTCGTGAAGCTGAAAGCCAGACAGGAGTTTAATGCCCAACATCCACAGAAAGCGCATAAGCCCATACAACAGTGCGATTCATCTACATTTGATGACTAAAACTTAAGATACACAATTTGAAATGGAGAACCTGAAATACACGGGAAAACAATTCAGAGGGACATCACAATAACCGTAAGGGCACTAAAACATACTTTAGAAGAGAGGGAAAACATGAAAGGAAAAATATGCAAACGGTTTCAAAACTTTATCAAGAAAAAACATGCTTGTGTTAAATAGTTTGTAAAAATAAATAATAATGTGTCTACTTATATTGCACTAGACTCTTTAGACAAGGTGCATGGTCAAACCGCTGGAGTATAGTATTGGAGTGTAGTGGTGAGGTGAGGTGAAATTGGGTTTAACGTCGTGCTTGAGAATATTTCGCTCATATGACGCAAGTGTGTATGTGTATGTGCGGCTGCTTGTACTAGCCCAGACTGAAGCTGGTTTTATAGTGCTAGCCCACTGAGATACCATGCCGCAGTGAAGCATGAATACCCCACTCAGACACATTATACTGACTCCGAGCCTACCAGTCCTTGTTGTACCCATTAATGCCAAGCGCCAGGCAGGGACCAACAAGTTCCATATTTTAACGTCTTTTGGTATGACGCGCTCGGGGATCGAACCTGCGACCTTCCGCTCTCCGGGCGGACGCTCTAACCACTACACCACGGAGGCGGTCGGAGTATAGTGGAGTATACAAGATGACTGAGTGCAACAAGTCACACTTTATGTTGATAACATATAATACCTATGAAGGCCGAACGTTGAAATGAAAACTGGCACACAGACAATTAAACACGACACATTTTCGAATATCTGCCCCCACCCACCACCCCAGAAAAAAAATAGTATAAAAAATAAATAAAATAAATAAATAATTAATTAATTAATAAATTAATTAAAATAAATACTGTAGCAAGTCTAGATTACTTCGACTTCGTAACAAGAAGATCCTGTGTGGGCCTCCACTCAGAAATCAACAGGAAACATATTTCAAATTTCAAATATTTACTGATTAGAGACTAAATACTAGTCTAGTGGGACTGAAATCAATTAAGAACAGGAGTATTACCTGGAACATTAGTTCAATGTCAGCAAGATAGCATTCTTTAAGCATTGCTGCCGAATCTGTTGTATATCAAATGAACTAAATGCTCCAGAATCATGGGAAATAACTAACACATGTTTCTTATTATGAGACTCCATGGTCCACCTTCGACTGAATGCTAGTGCAACAAAAGGTTAAAATAACGCCCACGTTTAGCCACTCGTTTTTTGACTGAAAGGTCGCAAGTGAAAGTTAGACTATCTTAAAATAACACATGTGGGCGTGTGTGCGATTACATCTGTCCTTGATTAAATGAGGCTGACTACAGTACACCTCTTACAACATACGATATTTTTTCACAGAACAGCTAGGACATGTACTTCCTGTGGCATGCGTTAATCGATGTGTTTTAAGATAAAGGAGTTATTGACGTAACGAAGACGAGCTTCACGAAACACGGGTATTAAAACCAACCATATGTCCTGAGTAATCACGACTAACAGAAATATCGTTTAGAAATGCTTCTACAGAAAAAGAAAAATGAAACGGAGCCTAGACCAAGGATTAATTTATCCCTATGCCAAGGCAATCTTGACTTGCAAACGCATTATAGGCATAGTTTTGAACTTTTCATTAATGTATTCGCTAGATCCTGGAAGGACGAAAGCCTGGATAACGGTGGGTGACTGTAACAGGCTCATTGTAACGTTCATTTGGGTTCATGATATATCTATCAGTTGATGCATATGAAAAACGGAGTGTTCGGTAGTTGAACTGTTTAATAAATCAAGTTCTTTCCTGAACGTATATCGCGCAGGTACTTGTAGCTTGACACTTAAAGGTTGCCCAATCGTCGAAGGCACAGCAATTTGTTATGTAGAGTTTGCGGCCCTTAGGTGAACCAGATTGCACTGATGCTATGTTCGAACCCTAGATTCAGACTGATTACGAATGTTACATCCTGATTAAAGGTGAGGTGGCAAAATTACTGTACGTACATTGCCATGGTCATGCTCGTATGGCTACGTGTGCTTGTGCTTGTCACGACTTTGCTGGCGTTGCGATGTTAACCGTTCTGAAGTGTGACATTGATAACAAACCCAGACTCAGCATACTGATTGTGTTATGGGAGTGTGTTTTTTGTAATTTGTAATTGTAATATCACATTGATTAGGCGATAGTTTTTATGGGTCACAATGTTTTAAGTTTTGAGTGTAGGTTGTGGCTCGCATCTCGCATTATATGTGTTCAATGGCAACAGTATTTTTAGCGGTACGCATTGATAGCACTTCAGAGTTGCCTCCCTTGGCTGCTTTATTTTGTTATGACTTCAGGGTCTTGTCACGTCTTGTGTTTACGATGGCTTTCCAGGGCTCGCAAATTCCACTCGTCCGCTCGTATTGACGAGTAAAATTTGTTTCGGGCAAGTGAAAAACATAATTTACTGACCCAACTAATTTTCAAAACAATAAGTTCAAGTTTTAACATATCGTCATTCGCGAGTAGCAGTATTTTCAAATTTCCCCAAAACTAACCGCAAAGTTTAGGTCTTGATGTGCGTTTGGTATCCATTTTAACAGACATCATGCAGCGTGGTTTCGTAACCTAAAATGCTTCGATCGGATATCGTGATTGGCTGCTATTAATAAACTGACCAATGAGAAAAGTCATCACAACATGAATGGTACTGATGTCGAATCAGAATAAGCTCTATAATAGTGAATTCCCTGCGTGTTATTACCGATCGTTTATTGTAGTCAACTTTCTTTTGGGTGATTATTTGTTTTTATTATTATACATAGGTAATTTCCAGGTTAGATAAAATACTTGATTTAATTTACCACGTACACTAAACTGCAAATTAGATTAAACAGACAACGAGATGGAAAGCTTAATTCAGTCTAATGTTTTGAAAATTCTGACATTTAGTAAACGCACTTGCCAGGTGTCATTGATATTTTCAACGAGGTAATATAGTTCACTAGTTCATGCTTTGTTGGGTTTCCAATATCCATTACATTGATTTGTAATCCGCTGTTTTCTCAAATATTTCAAACCTTAACTGTACGTGTATCGTCTTGCAAAGCCAAGGGAAGTGACTAGGGATAGTTTTGATGTTGTAAGCGGCCTGTTGCTATTCACGCTGAACTGTCACTGATAACGATGTCGGATATTAAGAAGTTTCTTGTTGGCGGGAGTGATGCAGAGAGGAAAAAGGAGAGTATGTCTGCTAAACATAGAAAACAAAGAAAACTTAGTCAAAAGAAATATGACACTGGAAAACGAGAGCGTTCTGTTCAAACAGCATGGCTGACTGAGTTTGACTGGGTGGAGATGAATGAAGATGATGATGGATGCGAACTGTTTTGCACTGTGTGTCGCAAATATCCAAAGTTATCGGATCCAAAATCAAATCTTGTAGTGGGATTGAAAGGCAATTTCAGGAAAGAGAGTTTGAGATTTCATGATAAAAGCAAAAAACATACTCAATGTTGTGAACATGATAGAATTTTGGAAAAACCTGAAAATGCACAATATGCCATGGTTATGCACAGAGTTGACGAAAAAATACTGTGGCTTATGAGAAACTTTTCACAACTGCATACTATGTGGCATTGGAAGGAGAGCCATTTTCAAAATGTGAACGATTTTGTCAGCTGCAGTCTAAAAATGGTATAAATCTTGGTGCCAATTACATCAACGACCTTGCATGAAAAACATTTACAGAAAATATCGCACAGGTTTTGAAAACAGAAGTTGCCACAGAGTTGAGAGAAAGTAGGTTCGTCAGTGTTTTGTTAGATGGTTCTACAGATAAAGGAATCATTGAGCAAGAAGTTGTGAATGTGCGATATGTGAGTGCTGAAGGTGAAGTGAAGACAAAGCTTGCAGATATAGTCAACCTTGAACATGGTCATGCTAGGGTGTGAAAGCAGGAATTCTAGAGGCATTACCTACTGTAGGTCTGTCAGAAGACAATCTCTCCCAAAAACTTGTGTGCATGAACATTGATGGCGCAGCTGTGAATCTTGGAAAGAAGGGGGAGCTGTGAAGTTGCTCATTGACGACCTGAAAGGTAGACCTGGTGCAGAAGACTGTGACAAATATATCACTGGGGTACACTGCATTGCACACAATTTGGAACTGGCAGCGTGTGACACGAAAAAAGATTGCAAATATCTCAAAAAGTTTGAAGAAGTTTTGAAAGGAATTTTCAAACTCTACTACTATTCACCTAAAAGGAGAAGGGAACTTTATGCAATTGCTGAGAGTTTGAACTGTGATCTGAAGCATTATTGGGGAGTGAAAGAAGTTAGATGGGTGGCCAGTCAAAGTAGGGCCTTGAAGTCAGTGCATGGGAACTATGATGTCACGCTTGTTAACTTGGATGAAATAGCTACTGGGAGGGATGATGCTTCTGCTGGAGCAAGAAACTACTTGGCTGAGATGAAAACGCAACGGCGGCTCCTAAAGATGTTGCACTTTATGATTGACTTCACAAATCTCGTAAAAGACGTGTCCAATGTATTTCAACTAAAGAAGACCGTCATATCAGAGGTTCAGAGACGGATAGAATCTCTCAGGCAGAAACTCATGAAGATGACAACAAAGAAAGGCAAGGCATTTCAGGCATTCTTAGAGGATAGCAAAGGTGGGAAGTTCTAAGGTCACGAAATCAGAGCTCCAAAGCAAAGAGCAGCATCTGCACTACAATCAGAAGATCAGGATGTAGATAAAGAACCTTGACAAGGACATTGACAGCATCTTGGACACGACAGCAGTTGTTCTTCAAGAGCGATTTATCAAACATCTTGGTGGGGAACCACACTCTTTGTTTAATGTCTTCGACTTCAACATGTGGCCAAACTTGGCTACACAACCAGACGAGTTCAGATGTTATGGAGACCTAGAGATTCAGAAGTTAGTTGAAATCTACAGCCCATAACTCACTGAAGAGGAGAAAAACAATGCTCTTGACGAATGGCTTGACTTGAAGATGTATATGAAAGACCTTAAGGCAGGCCAATGGTGGATGCATATGGGTTTACCAGTATGTCACAGACAGCTATGAAGCATATTCTGCCTCTAGTGTCAATCATGTTGACAATTTCACCCAGCACAGCTGACTGTGAGAGGGGCTTCAGTTTAGAACAGGTTGAAGACAAACCTCAGAACCAGTATGAGCCAAGATACACTGAGGAATCTGATGAGGATTACCATGGATGGTCCGTCATTGGAAGACTTCCAGCCCCAGAAATATGTTCTGCATTGGCTGCAAAGCGGAACAAATAGAAGACATATTGCAGGCCACAAATGCACAGGACCAAGAGTTTCACCACACCAGAAATTGTCTAACCCAGAGATAACTGGACCTTCCAGTGCACCACCTGCATCATCAGAATCAGCATCATCTCCAGATCTTGCCATGATGAGTGTCGAGTAGAAGTCCTTGAAGTGTTTACGTTAGTTTTACCACTGACTCTTAAAGTAACCAGTTTGTTCCAGTCCAGACTAAAAGTAACATTTTTCAGCTTTATTACATGGTTAGCAAATTCAATTTTGTCAAAGATTTTGTACAGAAGACAAAGTAAGTAATTTTATTGTAGTTTTATTCCAAGCAAACATTTTGAAATAAGGTAATTTACATTTACATTCATTGTGTTCCATGATCTATAAGGCAAGTACAATTTTAGAAGGACGAGTGGAAAGTTCATATTACTCGCCCTGCAGGGCGAGTGCAGATTTATTAATTTATCGAGCCCTGCTTTCGTGAACATCCTGAGTGGATAATGATGCTGCCTAGTTTTGCTAGAATGCTCTAACTGTGTAAGAGCTATATAAAGGCTGGTTGTTGCGTTGTGCGACACGGATTTATCACATGACTGTCTGCATCTGCATACATCTGTCTGCCGTCATCAAGCTGATACATACTGTCGGCCATCGTCAAGGTTGCTCAACATCG